AAAATGATCACCCCCCTTAAGAAAATTCCAAATGATGTCTTGGTAGGTTTTGCCGATGCTAGGTATCTCTCTGACCCTCACAAAGGCCGCTCTCAAACCGGATACGTTTTCACAATTGGTAACACGACAATATCTTGGAGATCAACTAAACAAACCCTTGTGGCTACCTCCTCGAATCACTCCGAGATTATTGCTCTACACGAGGCGGTTCGTGAATGTATATGGTTAAGAGCTATCATTACACATATTCGAGGAACTAGTGGCTTAAAATCTACCACTGACGAGCCTACTTGCATTTATGAGGATAATGCAGCTTGTATCGAACAAATGAAGTTATGATATATCAAGGGTGATAACACAAAACACATATCTCCCAAATTCTTCTACAATCAGTAACAACAGGCCTTGCTCAAAATTCAAGTGAATCAAATAAGCTCAGAAGAAAATGTAGCAGACTTGTTTACCAAGTCATTACCCAAGGCCACTTTTGAAAAACACGTAAAGAGCATAGGAATGCGAAAGCTTTCCGAGCTCCCCTGATTAATGTAAATATCAGGGGGAGGTGTAGACATGAGGGGGAGTCTTTCACCTACCCACCATTACGTTATACTCTTTTCCTTAAACCAAGGTTTATTTTTTCCCACTGGGTTTTGTTACTTGGTAAGGTTTTTAATGAGATAACGATACTTATTGATCAAGGTAAGGATCAAATGAAGAAACACTTGAAGGACGAAGTCTAACACAACTTTCATATTGTTACATCTTTTCCTTACAAACAAGGTTATTTTTTCCACAAGGTTTATTGTTACTTGTTGAAACTCCTACAAGGCATCATGGCGAATATCATTCTATCTACAACTCAGCACAAGGGGGAGTGTTAAAGGAAATTACATGTAGTGTGCTATTATTATAGATAGAATATACTTCCTCCGTTCTTTTTTAGTTGCAACATTCCACTTTTCACGCTTGACAATGCACAACTTTGACCGTCATTATATTTAATTCTCTATTAGTAAAAAAATTTAAAAATCAGATTATGATACTTTGTAATGAGACGAATTTAACAATATTTTTTTAAAATAATAATTCACTTACATTAATAAATAAAACGTAGTCAAAGTAGAGTACATGAATAGTGCGTAAATTCTAATGTTGCAACTATTATGATACGGAGGATAGTATATGTAGAAATGATCTGTACATTATTAATGGGCCCTGAGGCACATGTATTGTAACCCTTGTCTGTCCCTATTTAATAAGAGCTTTCTATGCAGTGATAACACACCAATTCCCTTCGACAATAAAACATTTTATTTAATTTTCACATTCTCCTGTCTACAAAACACTAGTATATGAACTGTCAATCAGGGTTCATCATATGTCCTTTTGTATTATTCAATTTATAATTATTGTAAGTCCTTCTTCAAGAATAAAAAGATGTGTACCTTCGTATCTTCATCAAGATCAATTAATCTTATTCATCTTTCTCCCATTTCAGTGAGTATTTTGTAATGTATACGTCATTCGATTTTGGTTAATGTATTCGAAATATTAAAACGATTATACAAATCGTTTTGAGTATTGTAATTATGTCTTATTTGTTGACATTTATTTTTGTCATTGACTTGATTTACGAATTGTTCTTTAGTAATGAGATTTCCTAATCAAGAGCCTTTTTGATAGCATGAAAATGAGCTGATTTGGATGATTCTGCTGAAATATATGAAGTTCTGACTGAAGTGGCTGCATTTGATGATTTATAAAATATAAGGAAAAAATTTTTTTAAATTATATTTTATGAAATAATTACATAAATACCAAAATAAAGATGATTTATAAAAGTATGACTAGTGACTAAAGTGATAATGAACACCCTATGACCCTCTGCCGTCCATGCCGCGCGTCCAGCCGTCCAGTCGGTCAAGCTGTTCAGCCGGTCCACGAGCTACGTCTTCGACCGACGGCTGTCCTTCCTCTCCGCCTCTCTAGGCTCTGCCTCCACGGACCAGCTCTGGTGCAGCGCAGGTGAGTGTTTTACTTATTTAGATTTTTACTCTCTTATTTGTGATTATGTTAACTTGTATTATTATTTTAAGCCTTTTAAAGTGTTAGGGTTAGTCCATTAGTTAATCAATTTGATTATTAATTGAAATTTTCAGTGCATAATAAAATAGGGCAAAGATTCATTATAAATTTATAAAGATAAAAAATAGAATTAAATCTTAGATAATTAACTGATAATAGGGAAATAAGTTTGATTATTTTAGATTATTAGTTTAACGCCGGTAGCAGTATTATTATTTCTAGCCTTTTAGGTTTGGGGAACATATTGTTGATAATTGAATTTTCAGTACATATAAAATAGTGTATAAATCATTATAGTAAATTTATAATAATTAAAGATAGAATTAAAGATTAGAGAATGATTTATTTAATATACAATTGAAAATCAGAGAATGATTTATTTATTGTGTGGATATAAGAAAGAATTGAAAATTTCAATTGACTTTTGGAATTGGGAACAATTATTAGTTTGATGTACAACACTTGTTTTTTTCTTATTAGTTTTATAGAAGTATTTTAATTTAGAATGGAAAATGAAATGAAATTTACTTAGTAGGAAATTGAGCTTGAGTTTGATTCGATAGATTTTCGGTGTTCGATTTTAACAAAAGATAAACATGCTCGAATGTAGAAGTTTAGACTATACTCTTTCATAGATTCTTGTTCGAATTATTCAATAAATACTCGAACCTTAACTAATCATTAATAAATTTATAAAATTGCACTTAAAACGTTTAAATTTTAAGATATACTCCGTATATAATTTATTCCTATGATTTGTAAGTGAACGATACGCTTCAATCCGGATCAAACCAAACATCTCTATGTTCGAACTGGGCTTGAATAATTATTCTAACTTAAGACATAGTCTGTGTTCGAGTACGAAGCTCGTTAAGCTCAGCTCATTAAATTAGAGGCAAAATCAAGCTTGATCTCAAGTAAATAATTCAAAAAAAGCTCGATTCGATAGTAGCCCTGAGCTAAACCTTGTATGTATAGTGACAATTTTTCTTACTACTTAGCTCACCCCACATCTCAATTCTGCATCCGCCCCTGCGCGTACGTATTAAACTTCGTTTGATTCTTGTATCGTATTTAACTAACTAGGGATGTGTACCTCTGTATCTTCGTCAATGTCAATTGATCTCATATTCTCATTCATCTTTCTCCTATTACATTGTGTATTCTGTAATGTATTTGTTATTCGATTTTGGTTAATGTATTTGAAATATTAAAACAATTATACAAATCGTTTTGAGATATTTTTTAAGGTTAATGTGCACCCTCACATATCATGCATTTTACTATCAAGTATAACACGTAAATTTTGATTTTGTATTTTGACACCATAATTTTATCTATTCTATTCATTTATAAATGATCAACAACTTTAATCCCTTCTCACTTTTGAGAACCTTTTTATATAGGGGAATTTTGACTTTGCACTTCACTTTTTAGAATTTGCATTTAGTTTTTAAAACTTTTAGATTTTGCACCATAACGTACAACATTTTGTGAAGAAAAATTCCTGAATGGGGTGCAAAGGCAATTTTTAGGGAAAATAGGGTGCGAAGTCTAAAAATTTTGAAAATGGAGAGCGAAATCTAATATCAACTAAAAAAGCGGGATGCAAATTCAAAATATTCCTTTTATATACGCCATTGGGAATAGACCAAACATGGCTTGAAGTAAAATGGACTTCTAAAACTGATTTGTACTTCTACGCCTTTTGATTTTTAGTCCATTTTATTTCTTTAACTCAGAACAATTTGGGATATCAAAATCGCTTATCCGTTCCAAATTCCAATAACATGGCTTATCTCATGTCAGAATTTTTGTAATTAACGGTCTATGTCTTGTGTTCTAGTTAAGGCTGAACAGATTGCATGCAATTTTGTGCAGGCGTTGTTCCTTCAAAATACTCCCTCCGTCCCTTTTTATTTAGCTAAACGTTATTTTTCAAATCAAAATTGTTCAACTTTGACTAATTATATATTTATAGATGGTAATATTGATCATATAAAAATTATATGAAAATGTTCTTTGTTAAAAATACTACAGTATCATAAAAGTATAAATTTATTAAGTTTCACATAAATATATTGGTTAAAATAATGAATCAAAGTTTATCATTTTTTACTGGAAAAGTCAAAGATGGCTAAATAAAAAGGACGGTGTGATTTCAATCGGCATCTTTTATGAAAAAATGACTCAAGTGTCAAGACTTTACTGAAATACTTTTAACATTTACAGAACTGATTTACACACGTGTATGTCACTTAAATATCGGTTTTACTAATACTCCCTCCGTCCCAGAAAATTCTTCCAAGTTTGACTTGGATCGGAGTTTAAGAAAGTGAGTATAAAGTGGAAATGTGTGGTTGTAGTTGTGTAAGAAAAAGGTGAAATGAATGTGAGCCACACAAATAATCAAAAATGTGAAGTTGGAAGAATTTTCTGGGACGTCCCAAAAAGGAAAGTTGGAAGGATTTTCTGGGACGGAGGGAGTATATCTGTTTGGGTGTTTTTACTTGATGAACTCCAAAGAAGAAAAACTAGGAAAGTCCATGTCCAAAGGAGATAAGAATGGCTTGAGTGGAGTAGAAAAATTACTAAAGTTATATCAAAATAATTTGAGTTGAGGAAGAGATATACACAGGGGCGGATCTGCCAGGGGACGGTCATTCCATGGACTTTTCCGGCAAGGTTGAACCTGGGATACGAATTGCAGGTCGCATGAGGTGAGAGACGAATACTATGGACTGAGAGCTATAATTTTAATGGAACGACATCGTTTTGATGGAGGCCATTTACAAAAACACTCAATTCTGGTTGGGCCAATCCCCAACAGCCCAATTGATGCAACAAACCAAGCCCTGAAGTGGAGCCCGAAGCCCTGAAAGTCTGCAGAAATGTCTCGCCTCATTCCCTCATCGCCAAGACCAGCAATACGCTAGCACCAGTGCGCAGCGACGAGGCATCACTCACACTGTCAGGACACCAGGAGCTAGTTCGCCGGAAACGCTGCTGACCGCCACTCCCGCCGAGGCGCCGACAGGAGACAATCATCCCTTCGCTAATGCGCCGCCGCCCGCTGTATTCTCTGTCCGACCCATCGTAATGTTTTTCAATTTTTGCCTAAGGTAATAAAATTAAATATTTGATATTTGATTATAGAATTTTTACAATTCATAAATATGATTTTAGAAAAATGTAGTGTAAAATAGTAAATGATTGAATGTGTCATGTGTATTAATATACATACTTGATACTTCTGAAGGGGAGAAAACTGCAAAATATTTCTACATATTACTCTTATAGTTCGGAAGGGGTTACGTTTCAGCTATAATCATTTCTTTAACAGGACTAGCATGGTCGATTCCTTCTTTTGTTTTTTACTTTCTGTTGCATATAGTACACTCTCTTTTGGGACAAAAATATGTTTTTAAAGAGGGCCTTTCTTTTGGATGGAGGGAGTATCAGGTTTTGCGCGCATGTTCTGACAATGCTCATATTTTTTTATACCACTCTAGTTAGAATGAATAATACCAAACATTAATCAATCCATTGTTAAATTCCTTTCTAAGAGCAGCACAACGTTAATGTAACATGACAAACAGATATAGTGTTTGATTTCAAGAACAATGCATCGGTGTGTGCTATAAAAGTTTAAAATTTATGTATCTAGAGTCAAAAGATTTTTCATGTTTCTACATTTTTCATGTTCAAAATTCAGATTATCAATATTATAAGCTTTCCCCTACATTTTTCATGTTTATATACAACCAAGCTTGTGTCCAACTTTTCCCCATTTTTGTGCTCTGTCGTATATATTAAACAAATCTATATAAACCCATTATTATGCTTTATTATGCAGAGATTGAAGGGAAAGGCTTTGATTCATATGATGACGACACAGAATACACCCCACCAAATATTGCAATCTCCGGCTAGACTCGGCCTCCCGCCACCAAACTCACCTTCTATCCAAAACCCCGCCTCTCCTAAACCATCCAATAACCAGCTCTCTCAATCTCACATCCGTCAACACCCAAACAACTTCTCCACCACAACAACCTCTCTAACCCTTCTGTCCCTCCTCCCCCCTCTTCCCAGAGCTCAATCTCTCCTTACTCAAATGGCTTCCCTCTCTTCCAGACTCTTTGAAGTTTCACCCAACCGCACCCAATGGGTTAGTTCCTTCCGTGGCTCTCTCCCTTCCTTCTTACCTTCTCATCAAATTCCGCCACTTGACTCCTTCCCATCATCCACAAAACAAACCCTTTCTCTCTTCACTTCCTTACAGTCACAGCTCTTTGAGGCTGTTGCAGAGCTTCAAGAGATCCTTGACCTTCAAGATGCAAAGCAGAGGGTCTCCCGCGAAATTCGTTCAGAAGATTCCTCCATTCTCTCTTTTGCCCAGAAGCTTAAGGAAGCGGTCCAAGTTCTGGACATGCTAGTGGATGACTACTCCGAATATCGCCGCCCAAAACGGGCCAAACTGCCTGAGGAGGAGGACTATTCGTTAACTACCGTCACCACCCAGCTTAAACTGTCTGATATATTGTCTTATGCTCACCGAATCAGCTATAGTACTTTTGCCCCACCCGAATATGGTGCTGGGTCTGGCCCACTCCGCGGGGCGCTTCCACCTGCCCCACAGGAGGAGCAAATGCGTGCCTCTCAGTTGTATAACTTTGCCGATCACGATGTAGGTTTGCCCAAAACGGATGAGCGTAATGAGAAGATACTTGAGCCGCTTGTTGACCCGGCGATGGAGGAAGTCAATCATAAACAACTTCCCATCCTGTCAAATATTGTGGTGCCTGATGGATGGGAACCCGGAATGCCCGTGGTACTGCCCATTGATATACCTCCCCCTCCACCGGGCTGGAAACAGGGAGATCCAGTTCCCCTTCCTCCGCTTTCACTCACTCAGAAGGTGGAAGGTCCACCAATGCAACTACCTGTGGTGGTGCCTCCACAGGGCCCGCCAAAGATGCCTGAAATCATACAGGTTCGGCATGTGCAGCTTGATCTTACTGATGGCAGTAGTGACTACAGCAGTGATGATGAAGCCAGCTCTGATAGTGAAGATTGATTTTCATATGAACAAACACAGAAAAGGTGTATTTCTGCTTGTTTTTTCACTGAGATATGGACTAAAATAACCCCAAATCTCATAAGTACTTGTCTTATCAGATATGAGTTGTTCTGCTATCAGCTTTAAGTTTAACCCCATTTGATTCCAACATAAAAGGTCCAATGTCTTTGCATTGAAAAGATGATCACCTTACTTATTTGTTGGAATGAATATTCGAGCTATGATGAACCTTTTATTAGTGTAGATCAATGATGGGATTGCACTTGAATGTATAGTAGAGAATTCATATGGTACTCCTAATGGGGGAACAAAGTAGCTTAGTGTTGTTCCTTTGTAGCATGCTATTGCTAGTGTTCCCTTTTACGGAGTAGAAAACAGGAACTTCTTCGTGCCAATGTGCCATTTTGTACAGTTTTCAATTCTTCATCATCATCATTATCCCAGTATGCAATTACGATTACTAAGTCAATTTACCCTTAGGGACTTGGGAAACGACTCCAGTATGTAATACTTCTCAGTTTTCACCAAATCATGTGAAAAGTAAACTTATATTGCTCAGAACTTGCATATATTATTCCATTATTCAACGTCCCTTATGAAAGAAGTGAGACTGTTGAAGAGGTACTCCAATTTTTACAAGAACATTAGAACAATCAATCAGCATAAAGAAACATTTAACATGTTTCAAATGGCAAAACTTGGACAAGAAAACTCCATTGCTTGTGGGTAGTGGAACACTGAAACCCCAAGACCATCTGAGGTTGACTCGCAAGACTTGAATTTTGTGGATATCATTCTTTGTTTCGTATTCATATAGGAGTTATTTCAAGTTCTTCTTTGACGATTTTACATGCCAAATAGGCAATTCCCTACATTTTACACACAAAAAAGATGCGATTTTTTTTTGAATTAACCATGTACACAAACAAATAAACGGTGTGTACAAAAACGTGTAGTTTTGTCCTTTTTTATTCTTAAATAATTAAATAATTAAATAAAGTAATTCAATTACATTTTAAGAAATGAATTGATTGGTAATAATATAGTGGGATTGGTGTTGATAACTGTGATGTTATAAATGTAATATTTATAATATTTAATGATTAAATGTCATTTAAGATTGTTAATCATTTCTACAAATAGAAATCAAAACCTTTGTATGAGTCGTCCAAAGAGAATGTGAGAAGTGAGAACCTTTCTAAGTAATTATTTTCCGTTTGGGAACACTTCCAAAATAGAAATGAGTACTATATTTTTATTCTCTAACTTTTTGGTTCAAATTTTTCCCCTATTTTACATAGTTGTGGTTCAATTTGATTGACTCTAGTTTGGAAGAAACACTACCGAACTCAAATTGAATTGTATATCTTCAGGCTTGAGTCAGTTTAGTTCGATTTAATACGGTCTAATTTGATTAAGCCAAACTAATTTGCCCACCCCTAATTTCGAGTATCAATTTATATCCATTTTTTAAATTCTTTTAACAGGACTAAGGGACTGTTTACTTAGGACTTAATGGACTTAATGGAATTGCTCAGACAAAACAACACTTATTCATTCAGCAAAAAAAGTGCACTCCTCCGGCTTCAGACACGCGAACAGACTCCTTTCTCGCTTTTAACCCAAGAGTAGTTTCCTTTATCAGCCGCTGAACAACTGCTTCTCCGTTCACAGACAAAAGAAAGCCAAGTCGGCCATCTGCACTCGAGCAATATTCAATTCCATTCTATGATCTTCTCAAAATACGGTATGTGCTATGTCGGTCAAATTCGAACCACAAGAAAACTTCCAAACAATCCACTTATTTACCTTCATAGCTGCCTCAATTCTATTGAAATAACAACCATAAACAAACCCGTTTCTAGAACTTGCCATACACCTGCCAGAAGTCTTATTTCATACTCCATATATAGTGGCGTATTATTAATTAAGTTTGATTTTAATAAAATTCTCACTTATTAAGGTCTTATCATTTCACAAATTCATAGTGGCATATTATTTCACACCGGCCGGAAGTCTTATCTTATTTTAGGATCTCCAGAAATTATAGAAGTTGGATGTTAATTACTAGGATTCGACTGAAAATATGTTTTTTATAAAAAGAAATGTGATGATTGCTTGTTGTTTATAATTTCGTTAGAAAGTCTAATATTGACAATGAATTTTTCAATGAATGGGATAATGACACTATAATTGACAATGAAGTACAACACAAAGGTGAAGATATTGGAGAAGAAGTACATAGAGCACAATGGGGTAAACAAAGTAAATAGAAAATACAAAGTATACATTTAGCATTTGTTTTAGGGCTATTTTCGTCATTTGACATGATTTAGACTTCTCATTCAGCACACTTAGTAAACAGTTTATTATATCAGTGTAACTTAATCCAGACAAACAACTTAATCCAGACAGAGAAACAAAAGTATATAACAAAAGCCCTCAAATATATTTTCAAGAGAGTACCACTCTTTAATAAGACAATAACTAAGCTGGATAGCATACTCATAGTCTCATACTGAGTGTGGACACGATTAAATAGAACAAAAGAGAACGGGCAAAGAAAATAGCTTATAAGCTGCATGGCTGCATAATTCAATATCTATCAAGTAAAATAGAATGCCATCTCCAATATAAGTTCCTGTGGATTTACTGAGGGTTTGGTGGCCTGCTGTTAGCTGCAGAGACTCTGGAACCCCATTCCAGCAACTCTTTGCTAGTGTCATCCTTGTGAGCGATCACTTCAATGAAACAAAGGCTGTCTTTCTTTTCTTCAGTCGCCGTCTTGATTGCTTCAACCAACTCATCTTCGAAACGAACCTGGCCAGCCATTAAGTCCCATTCACCATGAAATATTTGAAACGGAAAAAGAAAAACAAGCATTTGACAAAAAGTGTTAAATCGTTAATTTCTCACCTTGGTGGTCCAGCACTTGCCCTCGCCGTTGTGGATTGCATCAACCAGGGCTGTGTAGTTCCAGTTCTTGATCACGTTGTATGGTCCATCATGGATTTCAACTTCAATGGTGTAGCCGCCATTGTTGATCAGGAATATTATGCTCCTCTGTCCACACCTCAGCATTGTGGACACATCCTGAGCAGTCACCTGCAAGTATTTGTCCCATTGACATTATAATTAATAATCAAGATTTTCAAAACATTGTAACAGTTTCATTTGAATAGTCCGGATGAACATATCTTCACTTAGATTTGATTCTAAGTGAACCGACAAAAACTTTCAATAATCCAGTTTAAGAGAGCCTCTTAATAGAATGTTTTAGAAGTTAGGTACTTTTAATAAGTGAATTTGACATATTCATCAAGGCCAACCCCATCTAAACAAACTTTAAGGTATTCACTTAGGTTAGTCTAATAAATATCCGAACAACTTTTGATAAAGTTATGGTCCAGGAATTCAAACAGAGTGTAGGAATAGAACCTATACGATTCACTTTAAGGTATTCCAGACTGTTAGGAATAGAACTATAGAAGTTATAGAACCTATGCGATTCACTTTAAGGTATTCCAAACAGACTGTTAGGAATAGAAGCCATACGATTCACTTGAATCACTTCATTCAAACAGACAGTGAGGAATAGAACCCATACAGCTTTAAGTCCACAACCGTAGCATTAAATGGTGGGTCAGACATGATGGGCCGACGAGTTCCCCTCCATGTACAAAGGCAAAATCACACCTTTCTTTGTTCTTCATTTGAATATACAATTACGAAAAGAAGGGGAAATGGGACGTACTTAAGGCTTTTTTAAAGAGTATATTAGGTTATAATGCACACTCCAATGTACTACGTACATAAAATTTCATTTAAATCTTAAAACATAAAAATGAAAATTTGCATACACAACCAAAAAATGAAAGGTTACATAAAAACCAAAGAAACCATTAATCGCAGTCAACTGACATCAGATTTACCTGAAAGCTACCATCGCCAATGCATGCAATCACCCGCTTCTCAGGGGTAGCTTGAGCATACCCTAGAGTTGAGCCAACAGACCAACCAATAGACCCATACTGCATTTGGAACTCATACCTGTGGAACAAGAAACTTATAGTGTGAATCATGGAGTTAATTTGCTGAAAATTTTGAATTTGAATTCTTTCTCATATAATAACAATATATGAAGAGCTCTCACCCGCATCCTTCAGGCAATTTCAGCTTCTGGCAATTGAACCACGAGTCTCCTGTCTCAGCAATAACAGCCGTTTCACCGGACAACATCTTCTGAATGTGGTGAAAAAGAACATTCACCCTTAACGGCTCTTTTGGAGCACACATGATAGGACTACCTTCAGGAACATAAATCCTACTGTAATTCTCATAAGCAGTCTTGTTGTGCTTGAGTCTCTTCCCAAGAGCGCATAGGAAATCTTTCATTAACACACAACCAAATGCAGGTCCATTTCCAATCGTGACACGATCGGGCTCAACTATGACAGCCTTCTCTTTCTTGAGGAGCAGAGAATAGCCAACGGATGAGTAGTCATTGAATATTGGTCCAGCGAACAAGTATGCATCCGCGGATTCAACAATCTCCGCGCAGAAAGAGGTGCTAACCGCGCCCCAATAAGTTCCGATGAAATGCGGATGGTGTTCGGGAACCAAACCCTTGGCCGAAGGCATTACAGCTACAGGATAGCCACAAGCATCTGCCAACTGCACGAAGGATTTGCAGGCTTTCGCCGCACGCAATTTCGGCCCTCCCACCATAACTGGCTTCACGGCCTTGTTCAGGAACTCTGCTGCTGCTTCCACTGCTGCTTCTAATCCCATTGGATTACTCAATCTACAGTAACCCCCAAAAGAGTTTACAATACGTAGTATTAAATATGATCGATTATAACGGAAAATGTAAATGTCATCAGAGATTACCAGATCAGAGTTACTACACACCTGGGAGATAGAGAAAATGGAACAGGTTCACGGCTGAAGGTGGGATGTGGAATCGCAGATAGGTTACAGCTCACGCTTATGTAAACAGGTTTGCTCTCCTTCAACGCCGTAGCAATGGCAGTATCGATCTGCTCGTGAGCATCCTCCAAATTGTTCACCACAGCCTAGAAGCAATTTCAATTAGCGATTAGGCAATATATGCGGATTATATAAGACAGGTGATTAATTAGAGATACAAATCATGCATTTTCAAAAACGACGGGAGCTGAAATTGATTATTAAAACCTGATAGCAAGTGACAGCTTGAAAGCAGCGGAGCTCCTGGCTGAAATCGGGCAACCCGATAGTGTGGTGCAGGATCCGGTTGGTGCCGTAGTCATTCGAGTTGGGGCCGCCAACAATGCATATAACGGGGAGGTTCTCACTGTAGGCGCCGGCAATGGCGTTGAGGATGCTGAGCCCTCCGACGGTGAAAGTGACGGCGCATGCACCGACGCCGCGGGACCGAGCATAGCCGTCAGCGGCGTATCCGGCGTTGAGCTCATTGCAGCAGCCGACAAGGTTGAGCCCGGGCTCATCAATGAGATGGTCGAGGAGCGTGAGATTGAAGTCGC